GTTCAAGGACAAATAGACTCACTCAAACTAAGAATCCCGACCTACACCTTTTCCAAGAGGACGATTAGTATACACAGCAGACCCTTCATAGCTGACCACCTTCTTAAGCTGACCTAATTTTCACAGACCAGACATGCATCACATGTACATATCAGTACAGCAGGTCTAGTTCCTTATGCTTGCCCACCTCCGGGCGTTGACCAGTTTGTTCCAGTCCCTTGAGTGGTCAACTTACAGAGGTTCTACTGTATAAGCATTTATGCAACTAGCAAGGTTACACAACAGACTCATTTCAAATTTCAACAACAGAATTATTAAGTGCATACGTATGTGTACACACACATATATGACACACACCCAGAAAGAGCACAGCCCTTCAAGTTAATTCTACCCTTATCTCTTGCACTCATCCTTTCTTGCTCATCTTCACCACACTAAGATGGAGACGAGGTCATGTATCTATCTGTAGGCCTTCTGAGAGTGAAGCAATGGACCTTTACAGGAGGTAAAATGACCCAATTCACAAGTTTTGGCTTAGGCTCAGAGCTGCCTTCTCCCTAACTGCAGAAGAAAGCAGGAAGCCTTGCAGTGAATGTGCCTTCCTGTGAGATCAGGACTGCTTGCCTGAGTTCCTGGTCCCGAAACATGCCTTTCCACCCACTGTAAACATCATTCCAATACCCAGTTAAGCAGTGCTTAAATAATACCACAGGTAAGTAATTTTAGAAAACCACCATACAATTCTCTACAAGGCAGAAATCTGCTTACCTGAACTAACTCACTCAGCATATCTACATTTCTAAAGATGGTAAACCAGAACTCTGGGATTCCTCTGGGGTTTGGCTCTTCAGCAGTTTCTGCTTCTTTTTCTGCTATGACAACTTTATTTTTCACGTCTCCCTAAAAAATAAAAAAAAAAAAAAGTAAAATAGGATACCTGCCACAAAAATAAAAATTTACAAATAACTCAATGGCTCAATATAGAATATGATTTTAGAGTCCTGTAAAAACCTTTACCAAAACCCTTCTTTCAGAGCCGACATTTCCAAAACCACCGTAGGCTGACACTTTCCAAATATTTCCAATGGAAAAAGCATTTCAAGGCATTACATCCATATTTAATTCCATGATGTCGTTTCATATCAAGGGAGTAAAAAGCAAAAAGGTGGCAAAGTACAATCAGCTTTGGGAAAGGCTATCCAGGCCGGCTTTGTGGGGCACTTGTCATAGGATAGTCACCACCAAATGCAAACTGGGAAGATTCTGATCAACTTAGAGGACACCCAACATTGTTGGGGTAAAGAAAATCCAGTTCTGGGGTGGTGCCTATGTGGGTCAAAGGAGTAGGGTGCAGGCCCCAGATGCTGGAGGTGGCGGGTTCGAATCCAGCCTGGACCCGCCAAACAACAATGACGGCTGGAACCAAAAAATAGCCAGGCGCTGTGGCAGGCGCCTGTGGTCCCAGCTACTTGGGAGGCTGGGACAGGAGACTCGCTTGAGCCCAGGAGTTGGAGGTTGCTGTGAGCTGTGAAGCCATGGCACTCTACCCAGGGGGATAGCTTGAGGCTTTGTCTCAAAAAAAAAAGAAAAAAGAAAAAAGAAAATTCAGTTCAAGGACAAATAGACTCACTCAAACTAAGAATCCTGACCTTTGGTTAAAATGTACATGTGGGGTGAAGTAAGCTGAAATAAAGTGATGTATGTGTGCTGCAGCAGTATCTTCAGTAATAAGAAACTGCTCAGTAACTTGTATGTCCAGCTCCAAGGAAGCTCCAAGTCAGTTCTAGGCACCATGCAAACATCAGGATGGTGACCAGAAAGGACACAGAGCAACAAGGAGGGCAGTCTCTCATAACATCATGACCCCATGGAGACCAAGGGAGGTAAGCACATTAAGCCCAGTTCGGTGGCTCACGCCTATAATCCCAGGACTCTGGGAGGTGGGTGTACTGCTTGAGCTCAGGAGTTTTAGACCAGCCTGAGCAAGAATGAGATCCCATCTCTAAAGAAATAGTCAGGCACTGTGGTTGGTGCCTGTAGTCCTAGCTAGTCAGGAGGCTTAGTCAAGAGAATCTCTGGGGGCTCGGTGCCTTTGGCTCAAGCGGCTAGGGCGCCAGCCACATACACCTAAGGTGGCGGGTTCAAATCCCCAGCCCAGGCCTGCCAGACAACAATGATGGCTGCAGTCAAGGGATGGCCAGGAGTTGTGGCGGGCGCCTGTGGTCCCAGCTACTTGGGGGGCTGAGGCAGGAGACTCGCTTGAGCCCGGGAATTGGAGGTTGCTGTGAGCGTGATGCCATGGCACTCTACCCAGGCGGATAGCTTGAGGCTCCGTCTCAAAAAAAAAAAAAAAAAAAAAAAGAGAGAATCTCTTGGGCCCAAGAGTTTGAGGTTGCTATGAACTATGATGCCCTAGCACTCTACAAAGGGCAAAAAAAGTGAGACTTTGTCTCAAAAACAAAAACACAACACTAAATGAAACCATGTGAAATTCTGAATCCTTTATAAATGGGGCTCCCGTGATGAAATTATGTTGTGAGCTTTTTAAATTATCAAAAGCAGATTCTTTTGAGCTATAAGAAACTGATTCACATCTGTATTAGCCCACATCTACAGTTTCAACTAGGCCAGGCTTCACATATATAACAAAAAAAAATCAAAAACATACATGGTGGCTCGGCGCCTATAGCTCAACCGGCTAAGGCGCCAGCCACGTACACCTAAGG